GGTTCAAAAAACACATTATTTTCCACATACTGTACATTATTGTTTCTCCTCTATGCCCCACCTTTCTGAAACGCATCGATTTTTACAAAGCTCATCGGTCTGAAAAAGCGAGGTGTGCTCTGATTGGCCAGCTATCCAGTGCGTTGTGATTGGCCGAATACCTCAAGCGTGTGACGGAAATGTTACGCCCCTCACCATACTGAGATGATGCTTTGTCAGGCCGGAGTGATGATTCAAAAACATGAAAACCCATTATAAACCAGGCATTCCTTGCATCCAGTGGGGACATAATTATGGATTATAATGACTTATACTGTCTTTTTACACGTTGCGTTGCATCGCGCCGCGTAAACATAAAACCATGTCTGCATTTGACTTAAGGAAACTGTCTCTACTTACTTGGAGAAGTTGCTGTTGAGTCTGAATAAACTCTTTGCACTGCTGGATTTCTAGTTTGAGCCTCTCCATCTCCTCTTCATGGAGTTGTTTGGAGATCACCTCTTCACGGTCTCCATCTTGCACCATGGATGCTTCAACACAAAATACACCTTTCACAGTATTTTTATTTTTACAACAGGTTTGTGTGTCTAATGTGTAACGTTCTGTGCATTAGGTGATAAGGCTGCTCAAGAAATAAAGGAAAAGATGGTGATGAACAAAAAGGTGAGATTAAATTCTGTTTGCCTTAAAAGTCTGTGAATGGTATCCTCTACCTTGGCTGTCTAATCTCTCAACATGGTGCTTGAGTTTCCTCCACTGCTGACGAATGCTGTTGGTGAGTTTCTCCCGAGCATGATCACATGACATCTCAGGATGTCCTTTCAAAAGTTCATCGTCATCAGAATTTGTCTGCAGATTCAACTGAAATATGATTTTTTTTCCCCCAAAATACCATTAGCAAACACAAATAATTATGAGCTGTATCATGAAGTGTTTAGTGTAAAATATTTGTTATGGACTTGACAGTCATACTGTACCTGATCCATATCATTGCTTTGCTTCTCTTCCTTTTGGCTCATCTTCTTTGAATTTAAAACCCCCACCATTTCTCGTTTCATTTGCTGAATCACCTTCTTCAGCTCTATGTTTTCCACCATTAGCTCCCTCTGACGGTTATCAAATTCATTGAGAAGAGTTTTGTACATATCTCCTTCATGTCTAAAAAAAAATATATATAAAAATTTCTAAAGTTGTCATATGATATTATAGTGAAGGGGAACTATAAATATAATGCCAACAAACAACCAAAATGATTATGTCTTTTACCTAGATTCAGTTTTTCCAGTTTTCCAAAGACATCTCCTACCATCCGACCTTCCAACATAATTCAAAACGTCCATTCCTGACACAAAGCAGAAATTATTTTCAAAAGATTTTCAAATGACATTAGGGTCACTAAATAATTACAAATTTTAATTTGTGGGTGAATTGTTTCTTTATGCAAATAAAGTCAAGAGTGAACTTCACTGGTTTTGAGTGTATATCAGCATAAACACTGTCATTCAGAACAGATGCATTCATCTGATTAAATGAGATGGAAAAGACTTTGTTACAAAAAAATTCACATAAACGCTATTCCTGTGAACTTTATAATTATCCAAAGTCCAAAGACAAAATGCATTATTATTAGAATGATATTAGAATGATTTCTGAAGGATCATGTGACACTGAAGCCTGATGCTGAAAATTCAGCACTCCCATCACAGCAATAAATTAGCTACATTTTAAAATATATTAAAATAGAAAGGAGTTATTTTAAATTGTAATATTTTTTTCATAATATTACTATTTTACTGTATAAGAAGTCTTACAGATGCCAATAAAACAGTATATTCCGTATGTTATTCTATTAAGAGATATATTTAAAGGGGCCATGACATGGATTTTTTATTATTTTAATATGTTCCTTGAGGTTTACTTATAAAGTCAATAAAGTATTGTGCACAAAAAAAAAATATATATGTGGGAAAATGATCAGACAGATAGTTTTGATTGGCTAACGTCATTGCATAGGAAACAGTATCAATGCCTCCTTGCTACTGCATGTGAGTGTTTTGACAGCATGATCAAAATAAAACGGTCATTTCCAGACAAAGCATTATGAAATCATTTACTTATGGTTTGTGATGCAGCTGCAGTCAGATCTAGTACCGCTTCATCTTTCAACAAATATTTCTTTGTGAACTTTCCATGACACTGTGCATCGTTTACAAAACAAAATGCTCCGACCAATCCTCTGACACGATGCCATTAAAAATAAACTGTCCACTTGTTCCTTACACTGGGATCCTTCTGATATCTGTACAAAGACACGAACGAGCTGTTTAAACCAAACGCGTCAAAGCGAATGTTCTTTCACTCCATTTGTCCTAACAGACTCAAGCGCGTGGACTGTGTCAGAAAGCGAACGGGCATCTGTATACTATATCCAGTGTAGACAAGATAGCGGCAGTGATTTTAATTTCTATTTGCTTTTGATGTGACGCAACGCAACACAACACAACGTGACACTTGCATTCAGTGTAATCAAGTGTCAAGCCATTAAGCGACTGAATGCCAGTGGGCGGGGCTTGTGGTGAGAAGATGACTATTCGTCGATGCGTTGCTCTGGAGGCAGTGTTTATGCAAATGTTTGTGCCCGGGTGACGTCAGCTTGCACCTCAGATCCAAAACGAGCCGTTTTTGGAGCTTGATTAAATAAATGCTTTGTTTATAATGAGGAGGACACTTTAAGATATGAAACTTCCAGGATGTTTTAATGGTCCGAAGACCTCTTATATGCCAAAAGATCAAGGCAAATTTGATTTCTCATGACCCCTTCAAGTGATACATATTACCTTGTTTATTTTCCTTTTTGGCAACGAGTAGATGATTGAGGCGCTCCTTTACTCTGTTGTGCTCCCTTTCTCTTCTCTTAATGTCATGGTTGTATTGTGTGGCACGACTTGCAATGATACCCTGCAGCCTTTGTACCTATTAAAGTAAAAAGCATATTTGATAAAACAACATATTTTTTGGAAGAAAAAAAAACAGTACATGACAGCACAGCTTTCTCGCTCATTTTTCATACCTCTTCTTTTGTATCTTTTAGGCAGTTTTGCAAAGTCTTTAAATTTGTTTCCAGCTGACGCTCTCGCTCATGCAAGCGCATGTTTTCCTTTTTCGAAAGTTCAAGCTGGTCCTACAAAACAGTGAAAATTCATAGTAAAATAAAAAATGAAAAATAAAATAAAAAAGTGTGATAAAAAGGCCAAACCTTTAGCCTGGAGTTGGTGAGATGTTGGTAGTGGAGGTCACTGCTGGACTTGAGCTGCTCCACCTCCAGCTCCTCCATCATTCCAACAGCTCGACGGTGTAGCTGAAGCAAGTCATGTATGTTGTTTAGGGCAACCACAGCATCCAGATCACGAATGTTGTCCGAGTTTTGGAAAATTGGTGGAAAGCACAGGGACGACAACTCCTGTGAATGTAAAGAGTGGCAAGTTCATTAACAATACGAGATTCAAGTTTGTTCTTGTTTAGATTCTTCTACTAGATTCTTCTTCTTCAAACTCAAAAGACAAGTTGCAAAAAAAATAAAAGTGCACCTACCTGATTGATGTATAGAATGCACTCAGAGACATTCTCTTCCGTGCAGAAGTTGCTTGAGACGTTGAAAGAACTTAAAGGCAGAGGAGACATGACCGATGCCGTGTAGAGTCTTGAAGGAGACATTCTAGTCAATAATGCCTATATGTTATAGAAAAGAGTGAGAAACATAGACATAAATAGTTAGCTGTATAAAATAATGCATAATCAGAAAATGCACTATTAATTGTAAAGATTTGTCTCAAGTACATGTGGTACTGGTTCTTCTGAGTGAATGCGAATACTGCTCTAAATTAGGTTAGGAGGGGAACCTGTCCTTAAAATAACTTTCCACGGTATTTTGAGTCGCCTAATCTTTCCCTTTCCCCACGAGACTTTGGTTATCTGGAGCACCAGCTAAAATCTCTTATTTTCTTCACCTATGTGCTGTAAACTTGAATAATATGCCAAATGCAACTGATTTGCCCAGAAATAATGTTATGTTATTTACTCAGCCTTAGCACTCCAAACCTGCTGTTACCACATTTGTCAAGTTTCAGAAAGGAGAAAAAATGGCAACACTTTAGGGACCAATTCTCACTATATAGGTTTAGGGTTATATAGTTGCTTATTAGCATGCCTATTATTAACATATTGGCTGTTTATTAGTATTTATAAAGCACATATTCTGCATGACCATATTCTACATCCCTAATCCTACCCAATACCTAAATTTAACAACTACCTTACTATTAATACGCAGAAAATTATGAGTTTATTTAATTTAGTTTATTTATTTTTTGCTGTGATGACATTTTAGACCATTTTGGTTTCCCTAATAACCTTTCAGTGAACAGTTCATACAATTAAAAGAACTGTTCTTAGTGTGAAGAACATTTTAAAAATCTAAAGAACCCTTTTCCACTATAAAGACTTTTTGTGGAATGGAAAGGTTCCATGGATGTTAAGGGTTCTTCATGGAACCATTAATGCCAATTAAAAAAGCTCTATTTTTTAATAGTGTGTATAGCCATTTCCACTGTTTTCAAAAATGATATTTTACTATTCCATGAATGGGAAACTATAAAACATTTCATAAAACCCTACATTTCATTCCCTGATATTTCCATGACTGTGGAAAAACAAAACAAAAAATAAAATAAATAAATAATTGAGAAAAGTAAATATAGGCCACAATGTACTGTATTAATATGAAGGAATTTTCATATTTATTTTTTACAGGTGTTTTACTACAGCTCTATCAAAAAAAAAAAGAAAAAAAAAAGAGTACATTTGAAATGACAGTTTACAAAATGACAGTGCATGCAGATTGCAGACTGCTATGAAACTATACAAATATACAATAAATAAATAAATAAATGAATGCAAGAATGAATGAAAAAAAACTTTAATTCATTCTAAATAGGTGTGAGTACTGAGACTTGCTTATTCCACTAAACGACTTAATATAAAAATCCATGAAAAGCTAGTACACACCTAGAGAGAGCACACCATGATCAGATCTAAAGTAGGTTAAAGTGAATAGAAGGATTTCTGCGCTTTTCTTTACACAAAATTGCAATGGCTTATGCGCCATAAAAGCGTTTCAGAATAACATACCGATGTCGTGGTTAACAAATGAGGACTTTAAGTTGCAAACCATCAGCGGTTCACTTACTGCGTATCTTTTGGCATTCAAGAGCACTCGTGAGGTTTGTCAGCTTCATTTCCCGACATTCGGCACGGACTGATACATCTTTTCCAGATAATTTGCGTAATAAAGTGTCTTACTGTGGCACGTCGTTACATTGATGCAGGCGCCTTCTGCAGCACAACCTTGAACGAAAACACTCACAAGCGAATGTGTTGCCATGCAACGAAAACGAGGGCGTGTCATTGGCTTAACTCGTGCACCCCCCGCAGAATATCCACCAATAGGCGTCGTCGCAGTCAATGCAGGGGCTAAACACTAAAATAGGTTAGTTACTGTAATGAAGTAATGTAGTTTATTGTGATATAGTGATAGTTTTAGTAACGTAGTGCTAAAATATAGTTTATCACTGCAAAACTAAATATTTATTAGAACATTTACATCAGACAAATCAGCTTGGACATTTTATTCCAGCATATATACTTTAAAATACAACCTATGCACTGATGAAGATAAAATAACCACAAATATTGAATGAAAAGTTGTCTCTATGAACACATCTGCCCTTCATATGACAAAGACATTTTAAATCTTCCAAACACGATATATACAACATCTTGTCTAATACACAAAACAATAACAGCAGCAATATTTCAGCATAGCAGCAATCAAATGTAATAGCATACACAAACACTAAGTAAACACTTAAGTCAGTTAGCATATCTGGTAAACATGTCTATTTATTTGTTAAGGTTTCTGTGACCGTTTCATGACCGTAGCACATACGTTAACTGCTAACAGGAACAGGAAGCCCCAAAGGTTCGTCTTCACTGAACAAAGGGTCTGTGGGGCTTCTTTTTGCCTCCAGCCACCAAGTTGTCATTTCGCCTTTCCCCTGTTTAACAAAGAGTCACAATTAGTAAATCTCCTCCAGTGTATCTTAAACACAATACTCTGAAGGACAGCATCATTCAAAAGAAAGAAAGAGGGGGGAGAGCGACAGAGCAGAGGTGTGTATTCACTTGTGTATAATGAACAGACATCACTTAAGTGAAAATGCAAAAGCCAGCTGGGGCCGAGTCCTATAATTGAGATAAATCACAGCTGCTGCGCTAAGGTTTGCAGTTCAGCCTCAGGGGACCATACCATCATCTCAGGAAGAAAAAGATCAATAGCAGATTGATTTGGTAGAAAGGTCTGTAATATACCAGATCAGTTTCTGAATAAAAAGATAAAATCTATTATAAATAATATAAAATATTATGATAATAAAAGCATTAGAAATACTACAAAGGTTCAAAGAGAGGTTCAAAGACGGCCGTTGTCACGGTCTTGCGACCTAAGATAGCAAGATCTCACAGTGTGTTTGCTGCTATGATCCACGTTTACTGACCAGCCAATAAAAACGCGACATGATGCTAAAACAAAACTGCTTACCTCAAGCTCTTATCCCTTCCTCTTTCGCCGCTTCCACTTTTTTTGAGCACACATAAAAAATACAACTGCTAAAGTGATTTATCTTGCTCTTTTTGTTTACCACTAGCACATGCTGAATTTATTCTACTATAGTAACGTGTGTCTTAGTGTATGAGTCAATAGGTGTCATCATCGTACAGTCTACACACATGTCGTAGCCAAGTTTATTAGATCCATGTCGCACAGTGTGACATGCAATGATCTTATAGGATTGCTAAAATCGTGCAGTGTGTCTCGGGCTTTACCTTCACATAGAGAGACCCACGACACATCAGCACATATCCACCAAGTGTGTGTAGAAGATCTGCTGTAGAGCCACTGCACTGGATCTTTAAAGCTGTAAACATCATAAAACAACGATTAGACATAGAAAAGCACGTTTGATCTTTACAGAAGTTCAAGAAAGGGAAATATTTGGATCCAACATTCAGTTTTATTACATTTTAACCAATAAAACAGTGCAAATATTTACAAGATTCCACTCCCCCAGAAATGGCAGACAGGATCAGTTACTAATTGACTCTGTGCAAACAGCTGCGTTTGCCCAAATACCTTCACTGGTGGACTCCATACGGGATGCTGTGTTTACAGTGTCGCCAAATAAGCAGTACCGTGGCATTTTGGTGCCAACCACCCCAGCTACAACGGGACCTAAGATAACATAAAATACATCTCATTCAAAGGACGTAGCTTGACGCTAAGTTCAGGACAGATGAAGGGCTGAAGCTATATTGACCTGAATGAATGCCAGCTCGTATCTTAAGCTGTGTGGTGGGTTTGTGTGGGATTTTAAACGTGTTACAGACACTGATCAAGTCCTGCGCCATGCTGGCGATTTCCCCAGCGTGATTGATCCCGTTCTCTTTTGGTACTCCCGAGACCACCATATCTGAGGAGGGAGAGAAATCAATTTTCATTGATTTATGTGTAATTTGATGCAAAAGTGTGGCAAACAAAGGAAGCTGGATCTCTGTAACCGCACTCACAAGCATCTCCTATAGTTTCCACTTTGTACACATCGTAGTTGTCGATGATGTCATCAAACGTGGTGTAAAGCTTGTTGAGGAAATCCACAACCTGGTGAGGGGTGCTGGAGCCGGACAGCTGGGTGAAGCCCACTATGTCACTGGCCAATAGATAGAATAATTTTAGTGCTGTCAAACAATTAATCGCGTCCAAAATAAAAGTTTATGTTTACATTATATATGTATGTGTACTGTGAACATTTATTATGTATATATATAAATACAAACACATGCATGTATATATTTAAGAAAAATAGGTTATGTTTATATATTTAATTTATTTATATATAATATAAAATATATAAATATGAATATAAAAATGTATAAACATTTTCAAAATATATACTGTATGTGTGTGTATTTATATATGCATAATAAATATTCACAGTCCACATACATATATAATGTAAACATAAACTTTTATTTTGGACGCGATTAATTGTTTGACAGCACTAAATAATTTATTATACAGAGTGAAACATTTAAGGGGGTCTGAATACTTTCCGTACCCACTGTATATATTTAAAAAATGCATTAAAAATCTCAAGCTGGAAACAGTCACAGCACATGTACTTTAAATGTCCACTAGGTGGAACCATTTGGACAACATTTATTGAATATCTTTATTTATTGGTGTTTTTTTTTAATGTAATAATGATTATGAATAATACTTTTCCCACTGTAATTTTAAATACACTTCCATACTATAGAGTAAACGGTCAGTCTTCTGCTTCTCCTGAAGAAGATCCTGTGTTCTCTCGGCTACAATGGTTTCCAAATGTTTACTGTACTTTTCCATCTAGAAAAAAAAAAATGTATAAAAAAAATAATAATAATTATATATATATACACACACACACACACACACACACACACACATATACATATACATATATATATTATTTGCATTCTGTCTAGTAACAATTTACTATTATTATACTATTAAATAAATACCTGGTGCATATAATTACTCAAATTATTGTGTCCAGTCACTTTATGCTTATTGTGCTTTCAATAATTGTATAATTTTAATAACTGTAATTTTAAAGAATATGATACTTTTATTTGGCATGATGCATTGAAATTATCAAAAGTGACAGTAAAGGCATAGCAAAAAATGTAAACAAAAAAAATTGATACAAAAATGTTCTATTTCAAATTGATAATTTTTTTTACTTCATTTTAAAATATTTTATAATAGAAAACAGTTATTTTAAGCATTTCAGATTACTATTTTTACTGTAAATCCAACCTTGGTGAGCATAAAATACATTTTACTGTATAAAAAGTTACTGTACTTATTAACCTATTATATTATATTATATAGCCAAATGTCACTTGTCGCTAAAAGCAAATATTTATTACAAATATATATCAATAATTTTCATGCTTGCCTGAAATATACAGTGGCATTGGAGTAACTTTGGGCTTCTGCTGTACGTCCCTGACGAAGATCATCAGCCACTGCTTTTGGTAACATGCCTGTCACCAATAGAAATAATATATTAATTAAAAAGATATTAATCATACGTATATATATATACAGTGGGTACGGAAAGTATTCAGAAGAAATGGACAGCACCTGAGTTAAATATATGAGTGTCACAGCAAAGGGTCTGAATACTTAGGACCATGTGATATTTCAGTTTTTCTTTTTTAATAAATCTGCAAAAATGTCAACAATTCTGTGTTTTTCTGTCAATATGGGGTGCTGTGTGTGCATTAATGAGGAAAAAAATTTAACTTAAATGATTTTAGCAAATGGCTGCAATATAACAAAGAGTGAAACATTTAAGGGGGTCTGAATACTTTCCGTACCCACTGTATATATTTAAAAAATGCATTAAAAATCTCAAGCTGGAAACAGTCACAGCACATGTACTTTAAATGTCCACTAGGTGGAACCATTTGGACAACATTTATTGAATATCTTTATTTATTGGTGTTTTTTTTTAATGTAATAATGATTATGAATAATACTTTTCCCACTGTAATTTTAAATACACTTCCATACTATAGAGTAAACGGTCAGTCTTCTGCTTCTCCTGAAGAAGATCCTGTGTTCTCTCGGCTACAATGGTTTCCAAATGTTTACTGTACTTTTCCATCTAGAAAAAAAAAAATGTATAAAAAAAATAATAATAATTATATATATATACACACACACACACACACACACACACACACATATACATATACATATATATATTATTTGCATTCTGTCTAGTAACAATTTACTATTATTATACTATTAAATAAATACCTGGTGCATATAATTACTCAAATTATTGTGTCCAGTCACTTTATGCTTATTGTGCTTTCAATAATTGTATAATTTTAATAACTGTAAAAGAAAGACTTGATTAGATGAGATACATACCAGGTTCATCATCATATCCACAGGGCTGACCTTGTGCGGGTTCATTTTATCGAGAATCTTTTTCACCTGCTCAAACGTCGGCCTCATGGTCACATTGTGGTTCCAGCATCTCTTTATCAGCTGCATGAAATTTGACTACGAACACTGAGTGCGTTTCATTTATCCACAGTTATCATCTTTTAATCAGGCATGGTAAACATTCGCATCAATGGCAATTCATTGAAGTAATTGATCTTCAACGAAACGTGCCTCAAGAGGACATGTGCTTAAGTAAATAGCATGCATCAATTATGTCCATACAAACCTCACAGTAATCATCAGGATCTGGGCAATCATTGTCTGATTTCCCAGCATTCAGTTTGGAAAGTGATGGGCGCCACATGACATCAAGCTTCACTGAATCTGCCTGTTCCTGCTCATGAAACAACAATTGCACTTCTTATCATCACCTCTTACGCAAAAAACAGTCTAAAAACCCCAACACCTTCCTGATCCTTGAATACTTACTGAAATGAGGTCACTGCGAGTAGCAATTTCCACCAAAATAATGGAGTAGCTTGAGAACAGGAAGAAAAGACAAATGTTTATTTCATGCTTCTTAGAGACTGAGTTTTGTTTGAGAACAAACCGCTGCTCTAGGATGCATCTATAAAATATACAAAACATTTACATGTATCCGAAGAAAAGAACAGGGTTATTCCTGTGACGTCGGACATTTTCTAGACTTTAATAACTTTAATATCATTTTCTAGTTTAATGGCTTTTATTTATTTATTTGTACATTTTTATTTATTTATTTGGAATTTTCCTTTAGTTATGTATTTATTTATTTATATTTATTTACAATGCCGGCCAAATGTTTGGAATTATTAAGACTTCTGTAATAATTGTAAAAAAAATTTAACTATTATTAGAATGATTTCTGAAGGGTCATGTGACACTGGAGACATTATGCTAAAAATTTAGCTTTATATCACAGGAATAAATTACAATTGAAAATATATTAAAAAAGAAATCAGTTATTTTAAGTTGTAATAATATTTCACAATACTACTGTTTTTACTGTATTTTTGATTAAATAAATGCAGCCTTGGTGAGCATAATTAAAAAAAATTAATAAAAAAAACTTTATTCCAAACTTTTGGCAGTGTGTTTATTTATTTATTTATTTGTTAGTTTGTTTATTTTAATTAATTGAACCGAGAAGTGAATATGTGAATTTTAAATATTTTAATTTATTAACTTATTAACATTTTAGCACATTTATTGAGAAATATTAAATATTTTAAAATTAACTTTAGAATATTTCAAATATGTATTTATTTACTAAAACAAAAGTGTTTAATATTTACCATTTTAATTTAAATAAATGGTTAAAAATACATAAGGTTCAAGCATTTCTCCAACCTGTACATATCAGCTGCGGCTGTGAAACTGGTGCTGATTCTCAGCAGAACTTCAGGTGCGCAGTAAATGTGATAGACGTTTTGACATTGGAAATTGGTGCTCATGTCCTCAAAGTCCTCCTTTCTGTAGGCCATCAGCCCGTAATCTGTATCATTAAATATTATATGTCTTATTTCAGATTTCAGATTTTTCTCAAGTTGTAATATATCTAAGAAGTGCGCCTCTAGAAAATCTAAAATGATGTACCTGATATTTTGCAGACCCACCGGTCGTCAATCACACAGTTGCGTGAATGAAGACGGCCATGGAACATTTTGTGCTGATGCAGGTAAGCCATTCCTCGAGCAATATCAGTAGCAAAAGACAATCTGTAAACGTTAAGTGTTCATTTTATTTATGAAGTACCATCTTGAAGCATTTAAAGAGCTTTCTCACAATGCCACAAGACAGATTTACCGAAAACCCCAATTGATGGGGACATCCTCGTTCAACAGCACATCTGCCAGGCTTCCCTTTGGACAGTATTCAGTGATTATGCTTATGAAAGGAACTTCAATGCAGCCTCCTAAGAACTTGGAAAGGTTTGGGTGATCAAGCTCCCTGGTAAAAAAGAAACAGTAACAGTCTTAATTACTTCACCAAATATTTGGCTTGAATTACCCATCACAAAATCCTGGACAAGTCACTTGTCCAAGTAAAAGTACGTCTGATTTCAGTGTAGTTTCATTTGCAAGAATTGTGGGTACAGCTACTCACCTGACCTCTTTGACCTCTTTTCTGATTGTTTTGGTGAGGGTAAAGTGTTTCTTCTGTATGTGTTTTACAGCTACAGTCCTTCCATCACTGTAAAACAAAAGAAAACATAAAACAAAAAAGTTAAGATATAAGACAACACAACACAAAAAACGAGACAAGACAAGAAAGACAAGATAGACAAAAAACCAAACAAGACAAACCAAAAAAAAAAAAAAAAAATGACAAAACAAAGCAATGACAAGATATAAAAGCAAAGACAACAAGGCAAGAAAAGACAAACAAAAGTAAACAACGGCAAAACATAAAAACAAAGACAACAAGGCAAGAAAAGACAAACAAAAAAGACAAGACAAAAAAACAAAACAAGACCAGACAAACAAAAATGACAAAATTAAACAAAGATCAGGGTTTCCGCGGGTCTTAATAAGTCTTAAATTTAGTTGTATCAAATTTAAGGCCTTAAAAAGCCTTAAATTGTACAAGACAGTCAAGAGGTCTTAAATTTGGGGACGGAAAGACCAGAATTGCGATATGTCTGAATGTGACTATTAAACTTCAAAAGGCTATGATTTCATTAAATAAACATGAGCGCTGCACGTTCAAAGTCCGGTGCTGCGCTGCTCTGTGTACAGCAGTTACCAGGAAAACAGTGATATTTCTACCAAACACTCCACCTGCTGGCAGACAACGAATGAGCATTTTCAATAAAACTGATGTTTTGTACAGAGTTCAGACCAATGCAAAAATCGACCCATGTTTTTACCCTGCAAACACGCAAAGCTTTAAATGTGAACTGGCGGATCGATAAGAAGACAATGCATTACAAAAATCTAAACAGTATAAGGGGTGTGCAATATGTATGGTCTGCGATAATATCATAATTGTTGTTTTAGCAATGTGCAATTTGATATTATCGAGTATATCGCGAAAAGCAAACAAAACACCTACAGAGTACGCGCATACATTAGGTGATGAAGTCTAGTAGGTTAGACTAGTGCGTGTGCACATTTAGAGTGCATTCTTTCACTGCATGAATCAGTCTATTAAAATGCATTTAGAATTATCACATAATTCAAGATATGGGGCAGAAAATGAATTTCATATAGTTACTAGTTACTATCACACGAAAAGTGCCGTTTTTTTCTCCAAAAGTCAGCATGATTACAAATGTGATATTGATTTTATACAACAGTTCAATAAAC